CGGGCCCGCGGTCCTAACGGGCTAAACGGTCCCGGCGGGCCGGTCCTGGTGGGCCGGTCCCTTAATGGGTAGGAAGCCCGTGACGGGCCGGTCTTGTACACGAGGCCCACGAGACCGGGATCGCTAAGCCCGGGACCGGCAGGCGGTCCTGGGCCGGTTCAACCGGGCCTAGCGGTCCTAACGGGCTCCAACGGCTAATTTTTAAAAAAAAAAAATTTTTTTTTTTAAAAAATAGCTAACGGTCAAATTTTAAAATCTAGCCGTTGGCCTTTAATTTTCAACCGTTTGAAACTTTAAAAAATAGCCATTTGGCCCCCAAACTTTATTTTAACCCCAAACTTTATATAATTACACTTTTCCCCAATTCTCAACTATAAATACCCCCTCATTCTTTCATTTTTACTCACCAATTCATCAATCTATCTCAATCTCTCTCAATCTATATCTAATTTCTCTTCTATAATTGCTTATTTTATTATTGCAATTTCGTGAAAAATTGTGAAGTTGGTGAATTGAAGTATTCAAGTCTTCAAGTCTTCAACGATTTTCAATTTTCAAGAAGTTGTTCGGCAATTCGGTAAACTCGTTCCAACTCTTAAGTTTTAAGAATATATTTTTGTGTGTTTAGTTTGCATAATTGTAATTAATATGCATTTTCTTTGAAAAAAATGTTTGGTGGTAAGGGAAAAGCTAAAATTGGTGAAAGTAGTCTCCAACCTACTACCCTTCCCCCGGCTCCCCGACCCAGACCTATTACCCGTCCTGCTGCTCCTATTATTCTTGATAGTGATAACCCTTGTTTTCAATTTTCTGATAGTGAATTTTGCCATAATGTTGCACAAGGTGAACAATTAAATGAAGAAGTTATGAATGCTCTTTATCCTAATCAAACTATCTTAGAAAATGATGAGGAAAATGAGGATGTAGATGAAACCCAACCGGATTTAGATGATTCACCTACTAGTCCTGTTAATAACCCAACTGATGCCCCGCCCGACCCACCTGTA